CAAACTGTTCAGCGGGGCCACGTCGACCGCTGCTGCTGCTGCTGCTGCGTCTGAGCGAAACTTCTTCTCGACGCTGGGATTGATCCATTCCAAGTTGAGGAGCAGCCTGGCGCCCGGCACAGTCGAGAAGCTCGTCTTCATTAAGCCGAACCTCAACGCGTTCTACGACTACCCCACGCCCGGCGACGGCCACGACAACACCGAGTCCAGCGGCGAGAGCGACGACGAAGACGAGGAGGAGCAGGATTGAAGTGTGCACGAGACGCCGATAATACAATCAGGTTTTAATCGGCAAAATCGGGTTTAATTCCATTAAAACCAATAACCCGATTTGTCGGGCAAAAAAATGGGGGTTTTCCCCACCCTTGCTGTCAGCGATTCTGCTTCATTGTCGTCTGGAAACACGCATTCATTTTAGATTGTTTTAGATTATATCTTTTTTTCCTGCGGCTGTAAATTTCCACGTGATAAGCCACTTTTGTTGAACTATCATTTGTGACGAGGTTGCTTCTGAAAAAATAAATCTCAATACCTCGGTGGGGTTTACCTGATAAGATGAGTAAAACATTGTTTAGTTTTGTCTGTATATATTTTAAAGTTATTTGTTTACCTTTCCTCTACTCTGCACTCCTATCGCGTTTTTGTAACGTTTGTTGTTTAAATTTTTTTTAATTTTATCTACGTGACTTTACCGAAAGAATCAAATAATATTGTTTGTTGTTGTTTTAACCTTCTGACCGCGTGCCCCCTACTGGACATCTATGAAGAAGAGCTTTTTTGCTTATCGGATTCCTCCGGAATAAATACTGATTCTGAATGCCAATCAATAACTATACCCACACACAGCCTGATGGAGCAAAGCTACAGTCCGACTCGACTCTCTGTGCGTGGAGACGAATCCGGAGCTCTGCCAAGCCATCGGCGGCACGGCCGTCAGCACACGCCAGCCTCTTATTGTTGAGTTCACGAATTGAACATCTGCGTGTTTCATTGGTGAGTGTTACAGTGGTGTGTTGTTGGTGTGTTGTTGTTGTGTTGTTGTTGGTGTGTTGTTGTTGGTGTGTTGTTGTTGATGTGGGGGCAGGGTGGGATGCCTTGCCCCCCCCCACCCTCCCCCTATTGGTGGCCAAAGCTACGTGTTGGAGCCACCCTGGACAACCACCACGAGATTTGTTTTCAACAACAACAACAATGTCGAATAACAACAAACACTGATTTTAAACGCAGCGCTCCTACAGCCTTAAATGTCCGAGACCGTGAGCGTGAGTGACGACGCTGTGATGAGCAGGGCAAGAAGAGGCACGATCTAGAACAGCCTCTGTGAGCGACCTCGCGAGACAACTCCAATATTGGGCCACCCCCACCTCACAGATTGCCGCACTCCCTGAGCCGATGCCGTTGACCTCACGACCCCACCGCTCCATCGTGTACCGCGTGCCCGAGTTGCCCTCAAACTCAACCGATGAGTGCAAAGCACTCCGGGCGGAATGGGCGTCCTGAATTCGAACGCAGATTCTGATCAGCAAGTTTCGACGATTGGGCATGTGCCTCCCGAACGCGATGCCACGTGCAAGAGGAGAATGAAGGGCTGCCAGTGTGGTGGGGGGAGGAGGGGTTGAGAGGGCTCTCGTTACACGGCCCCCGAATGCGCCAGAGATCTCACCAGATCTCGGAGCTAAGCGGGGGCGCCGCCTGCTTTGGTGGCCGGTTGGGTTGCATGGTGCTGGTCAGCTGCTGCGTGGGTACGACGCTGACACGTGGAGGGAATCGCAGCTGAAAATCCATTGCTGTAGTTTACTTGCGTACCGCTCGCCAGCCCGCATTGTGTGGGGAGGGATCGCAGTGTGGGGGAGGGAGAATGAGTAGGAGAAAGTGTTGTGTGTCGGGAGAGTGTGTGTGTGTGGAGAATGTGTGTGTGTGTGGGAGAGAGTGTGTGTGTGTGTATATGGGCAGATATAGTACCTGTTGAGAGTGTGTGTGTGTGGGGAGAGATTGTGTAGGGAGTGTGTGTGTGTGGGCAGAGAGAGTGTGTGGGGAGAGTGTGTGTGGGCAGAGAGAGTGTGTAGGGGAGAGTGTGTGTGGGCAGAGAGTGTAGGGGAGAGTGTGTGTGGGCAGAGAGAGTGTGTAGGGGAGAGTGTGTGTGGGCAGAGAGTGTGTGTGTGGGCAGAGAGAGTGTGTAGGGGAGAGTGTGTGTGGGCAGAGAGTGTGTGTGGGCAGAGAGAGTGTGTGGGCAGAGAGAGTGTGTGGGCAGAGAGAGTGTGTGGGGAGAGTGTGTGTGGGGAGAGAGAGTGTAGGGGAGAGTGTGTGTGGGCAGAGAGTGTGTGGAGAGTGTGTGTGGGCAGAGAGTGTGTGTGTGGGCAGAGAGTGTGTGTGGGGAGAGTGTGTGTGGGCAGAGAGTGTGTGTGGGGGAGAGTGTGTGTGAGGGAGAGTGTGTGTGGGCAGAGAGAGTGTGTGGGCAGAGAGAGTGTGTGGGCAGAGAGAGTGTGTGGGGAGAGTTTGTATGGGAGAGTGTGTGGGCAGAGAGAGTGGGGCGCGTGCAACAGATTCGGTAGAGAATGTGTGGGGGGTGGGAAGAACAGAGGGGGTGGGGTGTGGGTGGTGGGGAGGAGGAGGAGGAGAGAGTGTAGGGGAGAGTGTAGGAGAGAGAGTGTAGCGGAGAGAGTGTAGGAGAGAGAGTGTAGCGGAGAGAGTGTCCGGGAGAGAGAGTGTAGCAGAGAGAGTGTAGGAGAGAGAGTGTAGCGGAGAGAGTGTAGCGGAGAGAGAGTGTAGGAGAGAGTGTAGCAGGGAGAGTGTAGGAGAGAGAGTGTAGGGGAGAGAGTGTCGGGGAGAGAGTGTAGGAGAGAGAGTGTAGGAGAGAGAGTGTAGGGGAGAGAGTGTCGGGGAGAGAGTGTAGGAGAGAGAGTGTAGGAGAGAGAGTGTAGGAGAGAGAGTGTAGGAGAGAGAGTGTAGGAGAGAGTGTAGCAGAGAGAGTGTAGGGGAGAGTGTAGGAGAGAGAGTGTATGAGAGAGAGTGTAGCGGAGAGAGTGTCCGGGAGAGAGTGTAGCAGAGAGAGTGTAGGAGAGAGAGTGTAGGAGAGAGTGTAGCAGAGAGAGTGTAGGGGAGAGTGTAGGAGAGAGAGTGTATGAGAGAGAGTGTAGCGGAGAGAGTGTCCGGGAGAGAGTGTAGCAGAGAGAGTGTAGGAGAGAGAGTGTAGTAGAGAGTGTAGTAGAGAGTGTAGGAGAGAGAGTGTAGGAGGAGAGAGTGTAGGGGAGAGAGTGTAGGAGAGAGAGAGTGTAGCAGAGAGAGTTTAGGGGAGAGTGTAGGAGAGAGTGTAGGAGAGAGAGTGTAGCGGAGAGAGTGTCCGGGAGAGAGAGTGTAGCAGAGAGAGTGTAGGAGAGAGAGTGTAGCGGAGAGAGTGTAGCGGAGAGAGAGTGTAGGAGAGAGTGTGGCAGAGAGAGTGTAGGGGAGAGTGTAGGAGAGAGAGTGTAGGAGAGAGAGTGTAGGGGAGAGAGCGTAGGAGAGAGTGTAGGGGAGAGTGTAGGAGAGAGAGTGTAGGAGAGAGAGTGTAGGGGAGAGTGTAGGAGAGAGAGTGTAGGAGAGAGAGTGTAGGAGAGAGAGAGTGTAGGAGAGAGAGTGTGGGGGAGAGAGTGGAGGAGAGAGAGTGTAGGAGAGAGAGTGTAGGGGAAAGAGTGTCGGGGAGAGAATGTAGGGGAGAAAGTGTAGGAGAGAGAGTGTAGGAGAGAGTGTAGGAGAGAGAGTGTAGGAGAGAGAGTGTAGGAGAGAGAGTGTAGGAGAGAGAGTGTAGCAGAGAGAGTGTAGGGGAGAGAGTGTAGGGGAGAGTGTCGGGGAGAGAGTGAAGGGGAGAGAGTGTAGCAGAGAGAGTGTAGGAGAGAGTGTAGGAGAGAGAGTGTAGGGGAGAGAGTGTATGGGAGAGAGTGTAGGAGAGAGAGTGTAGGAGAGAGTGTAGGGGAGAGAGTGTAGGAGAGAGAGTGTAGGAGAGAGAGTGTAGGAGAGAGTGTCGGGGAGAGAGTGTAGGGGAGAGAGTGTAGGAGAGAGTGTAGGGGAGAGAGTGTAGGAGAGTGTCGGGGAGAGAGTGTCGGAGAGAGGGTGTAGGGGAGAGAGTGTAGGAGAGAGAGTGTAGGGGAGAGAGTGTAGGAGAGAGAGTGTAGGAGAGAGAGTGTAGGAGAGAGAGTGTAGGAGAGAGAGTGTAGGGGAGAGAGTGTAGGAGAGAGTGTAGGGGAGAGAGTGTAGCAGAGAGAGTGTAGGGGAGAGTGTCGGGGAGAGGAGAGTTGCGTGGCGTCTCCCACGGCCTCTCGAGGTGCAGACGACACCGCAGGCGCTGTCACGTTTTGGCGGGAGACACAGAGAGACACAGAGAGACACCGAGACACAGAGAGACACTGAGAGACAGAGAGACACAGAGAGACACCGGGAGACACAGAGAGACACCGAGAGACAGAGAGACACCGGGAGACAGAGAGATACACCGAGAAACAGAGAGACACCGAGAGACAGAGAGACACAGAGAGACACAGGGAAACAGAGACAGAGATACAATGGGAGCCACAGAGAGACACCGGGAGACAGAGATACAATGGGAGACACAGAGAGACACCGGAAGACAGAGAGATACATCGAGAGACAGAGAGACACAGGGAGACACCGGAAGACAGTAGGATACACCGTGAGACAGAGAGACACAGGGAGACACAGAGAGACGCAGAGAGACACAGAGAGACACCGAGAGACACAGGGAGACACCGGAAGACAGAGAGATACACCGAGAGACAAAGAGAGACAGAGAGACACAGGGAGACACATAGAGACACAGAGAGACACCACCGAGAGACACAGAGACAGAGATACAATGGGAGACACAGAGAGACACAGGGAGACACAGAGAGACACAGGGAGACACAGAGAGACACCGAGAGACACAGGGAGACACCGGAAGACAGAGAGATACACCGAGAGACAAAGAGAGACAGAGAGACACAGGGAGACACAGAGAGACACTGGGAGACACAGGGAGACACAGAGAGACACAGGGAGACACCGAGAGACAACGGGAGACACAGGGAGACAACGGGGGACATCCGCACGTTCAGTGGGCGATGGTGCTCAACGTTCCCAGGTGAGGGGCCACGCGCCTCGCCAGAGTCGGCATCGCCTCGAGCCCCCCACCGCTGAGCCCCCCACCACTGAGCCCCCCACCACTGAGCCGCCCCCACCTTTACGGGGCCGCCGCTCCTGCCAAAGTCATTGTGGCCGGGTCGACGATCGAGACGACGACGATGAAGACGACGACGAGGAGGAGGAGGAGGAGGAGTTGACGCGGACCAAAACCGTAAGACGTGTTGTCTGTGTGTATCTGTGAGTGTGTCTGTGTGTGTGTGTCTGTGTCTGTCTGTGTGTGTCTGTGCGTGTGGGGAGCGGTAGTGTAGCGGTTAGCGCGCTGCGCGATGAACCTGGCGACCCGGGTTCGATTCCCGCTCACGGCCAACACCAGTGACGATTATCTTAACCGGTCCCGGGCTTCTCCTAGGTCGACTCAGCCTCAAATGAGTACTTGGTGCGGTGTGTAAACATTGCCACTAGGGAGACAAAGGCGGTCGGGCGTGGTGCTGGCCACCCACCCCCTCGTTCCGGCCTTCATAGGTGCTCGCCACTACAGTCTGTTAAGGCTATATGGGGGATCTTTGTCTCTGTGTGTGTGTGTGTGTTGTCTGTTTTGTGTGGCTGTGTGACCGGCTCCAGTTTAACAGCAGAGGTCTCACTCCGAATCAGTCGAGCGGCAATATATTTTCATCGGTTGCGTAACGCTGTGTGGAAGCTACCTGGTCTGTCGCTCCGCACTAAGCTTCATGTCTTCTCAGCCACGGTCATTCCCTCCCTTCTCTACGCTTGCGAAACGTGGATCCCCCCTAATGGAACATCTTCGCCGGTTAGAAACATTTAGGCTGGCCTGCCTACGATCCATCCTGGGTTTAACCCGGCTGGATTGAGCTCCTCCGGCAGGCAAGGCTGCGTTGGGCTGGGTCATGTAGCCCGCATGCCCAGCCACCGCATGCCGAAACAGCTTTTGTTCAGCCAGATTGAGGGGGCTAAACGGGCGCGGCACGGGCTAGAGAAGAGATGGAGTAATGTGGTACAGGAGGACGTGGAGCTGAGTGGACTTGCCGATGACTGGTACCAGCGGTGTCAAGATCGGCCTCTGTGGAGGAGGCTCGTGAAGGACGCTACTGGGCAGTTGGAGGCAGTCGCCCTCCAACAACAACGGAGGGCGGAGGAGCGACGCTCACAACAGCGAGCGGAGCGCCGGGTGGCTAAAGCACAGCAGGTTGGCACAGGTGGTACATCAGCCAGTCATCTCAGTCATCTTAGTAAGTCACCTGGGTCTGCCCCATGACCTCCTGTCAGCGGGCGTTCGACACTTCACGTGGCCTCAAGGTGCACATGTCCTGGCGTTGGTGTACGGTGCTATTTCAGGAATATTTTGATGTTTTTTCCTGGATTTTCTGTTTGCACAGTCACACAAAGTCACTTTAAGATGTTTTATTGTTTATGTTTTTTTGCGGTTGCACCCGATTCAAGAGCCGAATGGCTCACAGGGCTATACCAAATAAATGGAACTATGGAACTATGAACTGGCACAAGCGTCGTGGTGATGTCACCGCCACTTAGTGGCGAATGGCGGTTGTTGTTGATGTGAGTCTGTGTGTGTGAGTGTGTGTCTGTGTGTGAGTGTTGTCTGTGTGAGTCTGTGTGTGTGTCTGTGTGTATCTGTGTATGTGTCTGTGTGTGTGTCTCTGTGAGTCTGTGTGTGTGTCTGTGTGTGTGAGTGTTGTCTGTGTGAGTCTGAGTCTGTGTGTGTGTCTGTGTGCGTCTGTGTGAGTTTGTGTTCGTGAATCTTTCTGTGTCTGTGTGTGTCTCTTTGTGAGTCTGTGTCAGTGTGGTCTGTGTGAGTTTGTGTGTGTCAGTGCTGTCTGTGTGAGTCTGTCTGTGTGTCTGTCTGTGTATGTATGTCTGTGTGTGTGTGTCTATGTAAGTCTGTGTGAGTTTGTGTGCGTGAATCTGTGTTTGTGTCTGTGTATGTCTGTTTGTGAATCTGTGTGTGTCTGTGTATGTCTGTGTGTGAGTCTGTGTCAGTGTTGTCTGTGTGAGTCTGTGTGTGAGTCTGTGTGTGTGAGTGTTGTCTGTGTGAGTCTGTGTGTGTGTCTGTGAGTGTCTGTGTGAGTGTGGGTGTGTCTGAGTGTCTGTGTGTGTGTCTGTGTGAGTCTGTGTGTGTGTATGTCTGTGTGTGTCTGTGTGAGTCTGTGTGTGTGTCTGTGTGTGTGTATATCTGTGTGTGTGTCTGTGTGAGTCTGTCTGTGTGTGTGTTTGCGTGCGTGTGTCAGTCGACTGCCTCAAATGAGTACTTGGTGCGGATGCGATTAACATCGCCACTGGAAAGACAAAGGCGGCCGAGCTTAGTGCTGGCCTCCCAGCCCCTTGTGTGCCGTGCCGGCCTTCATAGGTGCTACTCGCTAACAGCACTTGCCCCAACAGTTTGTTAAGGCTATACGGGGAATCTTTGCTATTGTTTTTGTGTGTGTCAGTGGGGAGCGGTAGTGTAGCGGTTAGTGAGCCGCACTACGAACCTGGCAATCTGAGTTCGATTCCCGCTCACGGCCAACACCACTGACGATTATCTGGACCGGTCCTGAGCCTCCCCTAGGTCGACTCAGTCTCAAATGAGTACCTGGTGCGGTGTGTAGTAAACATCGCCACTCGGGATACAACGGCGACCGGGTGTGGTGCTGGTGACCCAGTCTTCGTTGGTGTTAGCTATCATCACTTGCCCCAAAACTAAGTTATACGGGGGGTCTTCGTCCTGTCCATCTGTGTGTGGCTGTGTGGATGTATATGTCCGTCTGTGTGTGTGTGTTGTTTCTCTGTGTCGGTCTAACAATGTGTGTGCGTGGTGCTGGCCACCCATCCCATCGTGTACCGTGCCGGCCTTCACCGGTGCTGCTCGCTAACAGCACTTGCCCCTACAGTCTGTTAAGGCTATACGGGGGGATCTTTGTCTTTGTGTATGTAGGACAGTGTTTGTGGCTCTTGATCTGGAGCCGAGGTACCAAAAAAAACACTGCCCGAAGCCAAACCGCAACCAGCGAGGTGAGAAGTGAAGGTTCGAGTTAAGGTCAGGACTGATGTCTGTGTGTGTGCTTGTGCGTTTACACATGCGACAGCACACACACACTAGAGTATACACATAGAGAGAGAAGGAGAATCAATGCCTGGTCTGACACTGGTGGTGATACAAGGCCATAAAGAAGGTTGTCTCTGGTGTAGGCCAATAAGTTTCAAATACAGTGCTCTTTGTATTATTATTATTGTCATCAGAGCGTGTTTGTTTACATGTTTTGCCACAGGTACGTGTGGTTAATGCAGACTTGATGCCTTGCTAAATGTATCTTATTTGGTGTTTCAACATCTCAACACCTCCCTGTTTTATTGCCAGAAGGGGTAAAACACATCGTCTGATTTTATTTACACCTCGAATCAATCGAGTTCCACGTTGATTTCGTCTCACCGGATGAGAACGCCACCAGAGACCCAAGATAGAGGAATCGCATTCGCCAGAGTGACGGGTGTCACCTACATTACGGAAGCAACAGCGTAAACAACAACAACAACAACGACGAATTGACAGCGTGGAGCATTGTGGGTACTTAAATGAACGAAGACGGTCCCAGTGTCCCCGCATACGAATCGGACGTTCTTCTTTTGAACTTCCCATTGGTACCCCATGACCTGTCAACCTCTCATCAGTGCCCTACCTGATTATTACAGACCAATTCAGATCTTATTGGTCACCCCCGTGCACCCTTAACAAATCTCAACGTTCATCCTGTACACTACACTATACACTACTTTACACTACACTATACACTACTTTACACTACACTATATACTACTTTACACTACACTATACACTACTATACACTACACTATACACTACTATACACTACACTATACACTACTATACACTACACTATACACTATTATACACTACACTATACACTACTTTACACTACACTATACACTACTTTACACTACACTATACACTACTTTATACTACACTATACACTACTATACACGATATACTACTATACACAACACTATACACTACTATACTCTACACTATCCACTGCTTTATACTACAGTATACACTACTATACACTACACTATACACTACTATACACTACACTATACACTACACTACTTTACACTACACTATACACGACTATACACTACACTATACACTACTATACACTACACTATACACTACACTACTTTACACTACACTATACACTACTATGCACTACACTATACACTACTATACACTACACTATACACTACTTTACACTACACTATACACTACTTTACACTACACTATACACTATTTTATACTACACTATACACTACTATACACTATACACTACTATACACAACACTATACACTACTATACACTACACTATACACTGCTTTATACTACACTATACACTACTAAACACTACACTATACACTATTATACACTACACTATACACTACTTTACACTACACTATACACTACACTACTTTACACCACACTATACACTACTATACACTACACTATACACTACTATACACTACACTATACACTACTATACACAACACTATACACTACACTACTTTACACTACACTATACACGACTATACACTACACTATACACTACTTTACACTACACTATACACTACTTTATACTACACTATACACTACACTGTACACTACACTATACACTACACCATACACTACTATACACTACACTATACACTACATTATACACTACACTATACACTACACTATACACTACTATATACTGCACTATACACTGCACTATACACTACTTTACACTACTTTATACTACACTATACACTACACTATACACTACACTATACACTACACTACACTATACACTACTTTAAAATATACTATACACGACTATACACTACACTATACACTACTATACACCACACTACTACATACGTGTCAACCCTTTATCAGTGCCCTACCTTATTACAGACCAATTCGAGACCCTATTGGTCACCCCCGTGCACCCTCAATAAAGCTCAACGTTCATCCTACAAAGTCACCATCACAAGGGGAGAGAAACACAAATCGACAAACAAAATGTATTGAAACGACTGCGCGTCGTATGGAGCTGACAACTCAATTCCCCTGGACAAGAAGAACACGTGGGTTAAACCGCGTGTGGGTGTCGACACGGCATGATGGGTGGGTGCCTGACCACAGCTTT